GGCCCTGGGCTAACATCCGTGCCCATCTTCCTCTACTTTATATGGGACGCCGCCACAGCATGGCCTGACAAGCGGTGCGTTGGTGCGCGCCCGGGATCCGAACCAGCGAACCCTGGGCCGCCGCAGCGGAGCACGCGCACTTAACCACTTGTGCCACCGGGCCGGCCCCCAAATGATTCTTTATAGGAGAGCCTTGGGATAGTAGGGAGGTGACTTCCTTTGTCTGAAGGATGTGTGCAACCATGAACTTGTAATTTCGTGAGGTGCTGGGGTCAGCTGGCATCGGCCAGCATTTTGCTTGGCATGAAACAAGTTCAAGCCTTGGCCGCTCAGGCCCCTTACTGCTTGGGAAGCTTAAATAACAACTTAGTCTCTGCTCCCCTCGGCCTGCTCCCCATGGCATCAGCAGGGAAGCGTGCTTCAGATTTCACCAACGGCATGGGCCGAGTCACATTGCAAACAGATGGCTAGGTGCTGTGAGAGTTATCTTCGCTCTGATTTGTTTAAGGGGGTGAGATTCTTTGGAAATATTTCTGGAAATCTGACTTAAGACCCAGCTCGAGTGCCACATGCTGTTTAGCTGCTTCTGCAGAGAGGGTAGGCCCACTGGCTAATACATGCCGAGATGTGGAAGTGGGGTTCCCTCGGCCAACCACGGACCCGCCAGGCCCAGCAGTGCTGGTCGAGTGGGCCTCCCCTCCAATGCTTGGTGAGGAGAGAGGCAGCACCAGGGGACCTCTGACTGACCAGGCCACTACCCACTCTGCTTCCATGTTGCCATGGGATGAAGATGAAGACAGTGATGCTGCCACCTGCCTTGTAGAATTGCTATGAGGATTAACTAAGTGGATACAGGTTAAGGGCTTAGTACAGAGCACTGGGCCGGGAATCGGCGGGTACCGACTGTGGTGAGCTTTCCTAGGCCTAGCGCAGGTGCGTGTGATGATGCTTTGCATAAAGCGCTAGTAGGTGTGGTCACCATATTTCGCAGAATTCATAAAGTCTTCCAGTTAACCTGCACTGCTCCTGACTTCCTTGGCATCTTGCTGCCTACATGCTGTGTCACTTTAGGATCTGACTGAATGAATGGGCAGGATAGAGTTGAGGCAGAGTCACTGGGCTTTGTGGGCCGTCTAGGAGACCAGGACTTCAGGTGGAACTACAAGTACAAAATGTAGCTGGTCACAGCCCACTAGGCTTACTTAGCCTCTTGCGGTGGACAGAACTGGAACTGAATCTCCAGCAGTCAATTTCTGGGCAGTTGCCTATGGCCTTTCTATTTTCCTCTCTTGCTTGCCCTGAAAGTCCCAGAACCAAACCTACTTCATGTCTGTCTCTATCTCGCCTTCTAATCTCCAGGAAACAAAATACTTTCTCTCTGTTGAAATTTGAAAAACATTACAGTTGTGTTGTCTGTTAGATGCCATCTTGTCTGTCCTTAAAATTTTCTCAGGTCACTTGGATGAGTTAGGATGATAGCAGACAATATTCTTGAAGGCAAGAATGCTTAATCAGAGTTTTATAAACTTAGGAAAAGAATTTACTTTTTTTTTTTTGCTAAGGAAGATTTGCCCTGAACTAACATCTGTGCCAGTCTTCATCTATTTTGTATGTGGGTAGCTGCCACAGCATGGCTGACGAGTGGTGTAGGTCTGTACCCAGGATCTGAACCTGTGAACCTGGGCTGGTGAAGCAGGGCGTGCCAAACTTAACCACTATGCCATGGAGCCTGCCCCAGAATTTACATTTTTATTTTCCTTAACCCAGAGATTCCCAAACTTTCTTGATTCACCGCAATCTAACATTGAAATTATCAATTGCCTTGTGTTGCTAGTTCCCATAGTGCCCTTCAGAGTTACCATGACACTGTGGGGCACCTCGACACTCAGTTTGGGAACCAGGGCACTAGTCATTTTAATTTCTCTTCATCTTTTTTTTCTTATTCCTCTAAACTGAGAATGTGTTGTAGGATATCTGTTGGGAGTAGACCCAGAAATAGGATACCCAGTTGGGTCCTGTAGCCTTCTTTGGGTTGGAAACAATAGGTGAAATCTCTTCCTATTCCTTGACCTTCAACTAACTCAACACAGTAAATGGTGGCTCCCACCTCTTGACCACAAGTCAGTGTGAAAACAGAGGGAGCAGCATTTTTGGATCTTTTAGATGTAAAACTTTGGTTGAAGACAATGTCTACCCTGTCACGAGAATCCAAGCAATAAATTCCTCGTTGTTTGCAGGTAGATTTACGAGTTTGAGTTTTCAGCCTCTGTCTCCATTGAGCCATGGGGCTAAGAGCCATTCATTGCCTGTAGGACTAAGAGCTCACAGAGAACAGCGCTGGCACACACCCTCAGTGATTTACCCTGTCCCCGAGCATCCCCTCTTGGGTTCCCCATCTTTTGCATCGGTAAACTGTGTGCCACACGTGTGCAAGTATAGTTGAGGATGAAACCCCAGGCTGGAGTGGGATTCTGCTACTCTCCCTACCCTCCAAATATCTGTGGAATCCAACCTCACCGCCCTGCCCCCTGGCGCCCCCCGCCCATGTTCCCCACCTTGCAGTCAGGGACTTGTGAAGGACAAAAGCCCAGTGTGGTAACATGGCCCCTGCTCTGTGCCATCCCACCTGCCCTCCTTTTAGCTCTCAACATGCACTGGTATCTTTCCTGCCTTGAGACCTGTTCTTGTGCTGTTGCTGCATTGGTCATGCCTTCTCCTGTTCATCACGAACCTTGTCCCTCTCTGCCTTACCCACCACAGGAGTGCACACTTGCCCTCTCCCTCTCAGTCTCTTCTTCAGGGATGCTGCCCTGTTCATAGCCAGAGCAGCCCTGCCCTTCTCCTTCACAGTAGCAACCAAGTATTGCTTAATCACTCCAAGAATGTCATGTTGACTGCACAGTCCCCAGGCATGGCATGTAGCTCAGATGGGACGCATTGGCTGAGCAAGTGAGAGTCTGCCAGTCACCACATTTTCTGTGAGAGTGTGAGCTGCTTTCCTTTTCCAGAGCTTTGAGATGAAGCTGGAAGCCCCAGGGTGACAATCTGTGTGGTCACTATAGGGTGCCTTCTGTACTTGAGTCATTCCCTGAGCACCTGCTGTGTACTGGGAGGACAAAAGGGAAGTAAAGATGGTCCTGCCCTCTGGCTCCCAGGTGTGCGTGCAGGGCTGACCATTGAAGTCACTAGACAGAGATCAGGGAAGCACCAGGTGCAGCTAATGAAAGGCCTGAAGGTGACAAGAAAGGGGTGTGTTGTGGCCACTGTGTTGTTTGGAGCTTTGATGCTGGAGGCTGGGGCGGTGTGGGGTGGGGGTGACCACTCTGGGAGGAATTTACCCAAGGAGGCTGACCTAGTCGGATCTGTGCCTTAGAAAAGTCATCTTGGCTCTCATGTAGAGCTGCTCACCATTGCCTCTCTTCCTTGGCCCACAGCAGACTAGAGATTCTTGTTGGTTTCCTTTTGTGTTCTTTGCTCCAGTACAAATGAGCGGCTTCTTGAAGTTTCCTAGGGATTTTACTTGCCTGCAGTCCTGGGAGGGCTGAGCAGCAAGATGCAGGTTGTCTGGGTGTGGCCTTTTGAGGTGCTGGTGCTGCCCAGGCCCCTGAGTGGGTGCGGAACAGGAGTCCCGGGCGTCTCATGGTGATCCCTCACATCCGGGCCGTGGATGTTACCTATCATTGGTCATCCTCAGAGCCTCCTAAAAAAAACATGGAGGTCTTGTGGCTTCCAGGTCCCATCTCATCTGTCCAGCTCTTCTCATGCCTTTGCATTTGAACTGATCTCTAGCAGTTTCTTTCCTTATGGGGTTGACGTCAGTTGTTACAGTTGTATGGTGTGGCTCTTGTGCTTAGTTTTTCATGTTAGTTAAGATGGGCTGGCCCATCCCAACCTTTTGTGTTGAACCCTCCTGGGGGTACATGTTCAGCTCACAGGTGGGGACTTGCTTGGTTCAAAGGCCAACCAAAACTTCCCAGGAATCGTGTCAAATTCTGGGCCATCCTGGCTGGTTAGGCCTGATCTTTTCACTTTCTAGGTAAGTTACTTCTCTGTGCCTCAGTTTCCTCATCTGTTAAGTGAGGATGAGGCCAGAAGCAATCTCAGAGTTGTTTCAAGGTTTTAAATGTTACTGTGTGTCAAACATGAGCAGCCTGGCTAGGAAGGGTGTTTTGGCTTTTGTAGTGGAGGTGGTGGTTTAATGCACAGAGATGAAGCCAAGTTTAAGGGTCAGGTTTTCTGTAGAAAAAGCCCCCTTCATTTTATGAACGGAAAATGTAGCTTCCTTGTCTCCACAGCCCTTGTGGTCTGGCTTGAAGGTGAAGAAAACTGGTTACGTCCAGAGCCCTCTATTTCTTGGCTTCGCTGAGAGTCCATTTAGAAGGAGAAAAGGCCCAGCCCAGTCCACCAGCTCCAGAAGTCAGTTACCTTGACTTCATCTTGCCTCAGGGACATTGTTTGGAGATTTCCAGAATGTCATTACCTAATGGAAAATTTATGGGATTGCTTCCTCTTGGTGGACATGCCTGGGGGCCCGTGGCTGACAGGGCTCCACGGCTCTGGGGCCAGAACATCTTCTCCATGGTGGTGCCGCCCCTGCCCCTTGCCTGCCTGTAGCTCACCTGGCACACGCTTGGCTGTGTAGTTCCCGAGCTTCTTTCTAGGAGAAATCTAATAGTGGAAACCAAACTGCATATCATTCTTTATCCTCACTTAATGCTGCCCTCCTTCCTGGCACCTTGAGTCAGCAGTGACATGCTCTCAGCCAGATTCCTCCCTTCCCTCCATGTCACACTCAGTGTCCTGGGATTCAGCCTAGCCTCTTGTGTCTCTTCCCTCTGTTCTCTCCTCTCCTCTGAGCAAGCTCTTTCTGACAGTTCTTCACCTCACCCCATCCTTTGGGAGCTCCCCCTCCCTGGATCTGTATGTGGCCTCCTTCCTGCTTTCATTTGGGTGCGTTGACTCAAGACCCTGGGCTCCAGGGCCTACTCCATCTTTGCCAAACTCCCATCAGGGTGCACTCATGCACCTCCCTCTCACCGTAGCACCTGCGTCCCTGCTGCCCTGCCTTGGTTCATGCCACAGGCACTTCTTTCCAGGACCACAAGACTGTTGGTTCTGGCCAAACTAGTACCAGAAGAACCCCTGATGGGAGAGAGACAGGGCCTTGTATCCCCAGAGCCTAAAGCAGGCCTGTCCAGTCATGTCTGCCTTTGGAAACTGTTGTAGTCCATGATGTTCTGCAAGCTTGTTATGCTATTTTGATGTTTCACCATGCCCACCGTCAAATGAAGTTGCCTTAGGGAAATGTCACTCCGTGGTCCTGAACACTGCTCTCTCTGGCTTGGGGGATGCTCTCCACAGGCTGCTGCCCAGCCGTCTCCACCTCCAGTCCCCATCATGTTCTCATGCCATGTGCCCGTCTGGTTTCAGCTCTGAGTGTCCCTTCCTCATGTCTAGCATCACTTGTACACGAGATACCAGGAAACAGCTTCGTACCTGCAAAGCTCTCCCTAATCCCCCTTCTTGTAAGTGTTCCTCCCGGTCCCATGTTCCCCAGGTAGAGCACACCCGTCTTAGAGGTTGCCACAGGAGCTGTCCCTCTCCTTCTCGAGTTTTAGGAGTACTCTGGGAGGGCACAGGCTTAGATGTAAATCCTCTCCTGGCGTCTTTGATGCGGTTGAACCTCATTAAATACTTATGTTTAGCGTTGGAGGCAAGACCACCTGTAGACACCTGACTTGCACTGCTGTGACATGCCCTCCCTCCAGCGCCTTGACTGTCTCCATGCAGGTGACATGGGTGTTTCTCTCCACAGTGTTGTCCTCTCCTGTGAGCTAAAGGATTAATGAATTATTAAGGGTTTTTTTAGGTGATTGGCCTGCTGTCTCTGAATAGGCAAAAAGCACTCTTAAATCTCTTACTCATTTGATGAAAAAGAGTAAGGAACAGACATTCGTCTTAAGGTTAACGTGGGATTCAGTTCTCAGACTGAATGTAAGATTCAGGGTTTTGCACGTGGTGGCCTTGGGCTGCTCCCACATGGGTCCCCTCCCTGCAGCAGCCTCTTCCTTGGAGCAGTGCTCTCTCCTTGTGTTCTCTGCCATTTGATCACTGTGCCTGCAGTCCGCTAGAGCACCCTGGAGGGAAAGCTGTCTCCCTGGTCATGTCGGTCTTGTCAGCCCTCAGGTTCACCCTCCAGCCAGGACCCCAGTGTTGGGGGCATCTGGCCAGAACGTGTGCTGGGTGGTCAACCTGCCTGCCTCAAGCTGGGAGATCCAGCTCTCCACAGCCCCCCCAACGGCAGACTCACTACCGAGTCACTTTACGTAGCAGGGTCTCCCTCGTGCTTTTAAAATTTGATAATTTGCCAGAACTGCAATTAGAAAAACCTTTGTGGGAACCTTGGTTTAAATTACACTTGGACTGAATTATAAGATAATTCATCAGCCACTAGAGTACCCAGCATATACTAGGCATAAAGCTGTTTATTGATCAGCTAAGTGTGCTCCAGAACGGAAGCCAGGACAGAGCCAGCTCACCCTGTCTTTTCTTGTTTCCTCTGCCTGCCAGAGTCCTACGGTCCTAAAATCTGCCCTCTTTTCCTAAGCCCTTGACTGACTTATGCAGCCAGAGAGATTTTCTTACCTGCACTGAACTCCTAGGTTCGTTACTGGAGATGCTCATTAGATGCAGGCAGCTCCTAGCTTACGGCCTTTCTTAACTCCGGGGACTGGGTTTAAACTGATCGTTCCTTTTTCTTGCCAATAGAAAAGTGTCGGAAACACAGTACATACAAAGAATGCAAATAGTAAATGTTTGAGTAGATGTTTCTTCTTCTTAATAGACAGAGTGTGGGAACTCTTGGGTAGCACTGCCAGTAAGGGGAGAGTTAGTGTGTTTCTGGAGGGCAGTTTGGCAGTAAAAATGTATACCCCTTGACCTGTAGTTGTCCCATTAGAATAACTGGACAAGTGCACAAAGTTGCCCTTGGGGGAGATGCTTGTGGCAGGGTTTGTGTTGTTGGTGTGGCCCGAAGCAGGGGTCGTTCAAGTGAGGGGAGTGCGCAGGGCGGGGTGTTCACACAGGCACTGGGTAGGGGTCTCATGCCCTCCTGTGCAGGTCACAAGAGGTGCTTCTCTTTGCTTATAAATAAGCTTTGAAAAGCTGGTTAATAAAATGGTAGATCAAGTATGGATTTATTTTTAGGTTATCAGCAGTTATCTTATGGGATTTCTTTAATCAGCAAACATGCATTATTTAAGTTACCAAGAAAATGTTCTTGCTGAGCATGAGGCTTTGCCCTGAGCACTCAGCAGTGGACTGTGTGGGCCATTCGAGGGTGGGTGGCCCGACCTGGCCCCACTGCCCGGCCTCTCTGACCAAGTGGAATTACTGACTTGGCTTGATGGTTCGTGAGCCACAAATGCAAATAGGAATTTTAATGTAAATGACATATTTGGCGGCTTGCAAATCATCCTCTCTCCCACACAGGCAGCGGCCCCTAAAAGTTCTCAGATGTTGTGAAGACCTGGTTTGTTGCTTATTGTACTGTACCCCTGCCCCGTGAACTCCATAGCGCCTGCGGCCCCTGCTGGCTCCTGGTCCGTTCTCGTCTCCATGTCCCTTGCCGTTGGTACCTGCTGTCCCTTTCCTGCTGGATGATAAGTCTTTGAGGAGAGCAGACACTGGAGCCCTTTTAGTCAGTGCATGCTGTGGCTCCCCACCCAGCTTGACCAGTCTCCACCAGAGGACCTCAGCCCTTGGAGGCCATAGCCTTGTGTCATTACGGACGGCACCCCTCTGCTGCCTGGTCTCTGATGGTGGCTTTTCTTTTCCCTTGTAGAGTGCCTGGTAAGGAATGTGATGGAATCAGTAGCATGTCTGCAGAGAGCGGCCCTGGGACGAGATTGAGAAATCTGCCAGTAATGGGGGATGGACTAGAAACTACCCAAATGTCTACAACACAGGCCCAGGCCCAACCCCAGCAAGCCAACGCAGCCAGCACCAACCCCCCGCCCCCGGAGACCTCCAACCCTAACAAGCCCAAGAGGCAGACCAACCAACTGCAATATCTGCTCAAAGTGGTGCTCAAGACACTATGGAAACACCAATTTGCGTGGCCTTTCCAGCAGCCTGTGGACGCCGTCAAGCTAAACCTCCCTGTGAGTAGCTTGGGCAGGACCCAGGGCTGCTGTCCTCCAGGTCTCCTTCTGCATTGCTCCTGGTGAGGGTGGACTCACAGGGAGGGTGGAGATGCCTTTGGAGTCGTCATGAAAGCGTGGGGCCTAGCTCTGAACTCCAGTGCCCACGGGGCCCTTGGGTGAGTGGTTTCAGCAGTCCCAATACATGGAAATATGGAAGGAGAGAGGATGTGCTAATTGACTTAAAGAGTAACTGGTTCCTTAGATGTTAGGATCTCAGGGACAATTGCGTAGAGGGGTTGAAATGGGGGTGAGGGAGTGCTTGCAGCTTTCCTCCTGATTCCATGGGGAGCCGAAGTGGGAGCACTTGGTGGTCCGGGCCCCTGCTTCTCAGGTGTGGTCACCTGGCCCAGGAGAAGTAGACATGGTTGGTCCAACTGTGTGAAAGGGAGACTGGCTTGTTGCAGCACCTCGCCTGGATCTAGCTAGCATCATCATCCTCACCCAGAGCACAGGGCAGGAAAAGGTAGAATATCTCCCAGGGAACAAGTATGAGGAGGTGGCCCAGCTGCAGAGAGGGGATGTTGCTGCAGCTGCACAGGCCGTGTCTCCCTGGGGTACAGCTTTGCCCCCAGCTGCCTCTGTGCACACCCTCATGCCTGCCCACCCTCTTGTGGCCACACTGCACTTGCTCCTATTCTTTTGTACCCCCGTTCCTCTTTTCTCTCCCTAGAGAGTTTTTGGTTTGCCCACATCCCTAGCAAATGGTTCTGGAAACTCAGCTTGTATCTCTAACTGAACCTGGGGGAGCAAACGGGATATAGGCTTTAATTTCTTCTTTCCTAAGAATTGTTTCTTAGCATCAAGGACTAATTGCCTTTAAATTGCCCTTTGCTGTTTGCCAGGTTCCCCTCACCCCAGGCAAGGGAATTGGGATTAGATGCTTGTTACTGTTGACCCAGGTGTGGGTCTGCAAGTGTTAGAACTGCACAGGTGTGGGAACTTCAGCCTCTGCCCAGCGTCCAGTTTCAAGAAGGATGTACGCACCAGTGTGACCCTCCTGGTTTAAAAGCCACCGTGTCTGTGACAGCTGCCCAATGCCATCTGTCGCTGAATATGCGTCATATGCACTCAGGGGAAGAGAGAGTCAAGAGGGGTCACTACAGGTCTAGGTCATGAACTGGCTCAGGAAAGGGGGTGGAGGCCAAAGAAGGTTCTCTCCAGATCTGGGCTTCAGAGGCTGCACTCGCTACTGACCACAGCAAGGAGTAGAGGCAGCCAGCCTGGAACCGGAGGGAGGCTGTTGGGAGAGCTTGCTACACTGGTCTCTGGCTGGGCTGAGCTGGGCCGTGTAGGGTCCACAGTGAGGGTGACCTTCCCAGAGCAAATGCAAAGAATGGGGAGAGAAGGAGCCGGGCGGCGGGTGGGGAGTGGCACCAGAGGGAGGTGGGAGGCCTACAGAAGAGAGCCAGGCGAGTTACCAGCGGAGAGCAGTCCCCCAAGTTTCCACATCAGAGACTACAGGGAGGTCAAAGAGATGAGGATTCCGACCTGACCCTCCTGTTGGCCTTTAGGAGGGCATTGGTGACCTTAGGAAGATGTGACGCAGAAGTAGAAACCAGATTCGCGACGATGTGAATGAGAAGGTGAGGATGTCAAGCCACCATTTCAAGAAATTTGGCTCTGAAGGGAAGGCGTGGCAGGACCACAATGGAGGAGGGGTTGGTTACAGGAAAACGCAGAGGGCTGAGGTGGTGAAGACAGAGGAGAAAGGGGGGCTGGGGGACCCGAGATCCTGAGAAGGCAGCATCCCAGCCTGCAGGACAGACACAGGTGTGGGGTCTGTCAAGCCAAGGGGTTTGGGAGTTTGAGGTCGTTCTCTGTGAAGTAGAGACCAGACTCCCCATGGGCCACAGTGTGAATCCTCCGTCCCTGTGACTGTTGACATTACCCTCAGCAGCTCTAACATAGGAAGAAGAGACCTATGAACAGTGGGACTGATGGATCTTCAGAGAGGTGGGAGAGTGAGGAGCTGACCCAGAGGGGCGGGGTGGGGCTGGTCGGCTGGGAGCAATGTCATGCTAAAGCCCAGTTTTCCAGTAATCTTCTTTCTCCAGATGTTAATAGGGCCACCCAAGAAAGGGTTCCTTCTTTTTCTGTTTTCTGACGCCTTCCAGATCTTTCCCTGCGTTTTGGCCTCTGGTCCCTGCTAGACTTTTCACTAGAATGCCTGCCTCTTTTGTTCAGTACACGTGTACAGTTGGAATGTCATTCCCCTGAACCCACTGCTCCCTTATCACTGCCCCCGCCCCCCTCCCCCCTTTTTTGTCTTCATCTCACTTCTCCATCCTCAACCACTGTCTTGTTTGCCCTTGAGTCACTTGACACACCATGGCCAATTCAAGCACCTGACACCATTCTAAGAGACCTTTGGCCATAAAATAAAATCTAAATTTCCACTGGGGCAGGTATGTTTGGACTTAGTTCTCTTGGGAAAGGTGGTCAGAGCATAGTATAATGTAGAAAGTCTGGTTCAGTCTCCCCTTGCCGCCTACTGGCCAGGGTGTCCAAGTGTGCACCTGCAGCCCTTGTCAGTCAGGGCCATGATCTGTGCCCGCCCTTACGTGTAAGTCATTGGCTTTTGTTCCTTTCTCACGGGTGTCAGGGCAGCTCAAAACCTCACACCCTATGCTTATCTTTCCAGTACTGTCCACCACTGTTCCCAGGCAGGATGTCGGCACTTGCTAAGGGATAGGCCTGCCCCTCTGCTGTCGGGTTCCCACTTGGACTTGGTTCTGATACTACCCAAGCCTAATTACAGCAACCTCAGAGAATACAGTTCTCGGTGGAGCTGATGGGCTGCATGCAGGTCCCCCTGCGTGACCCTCTGTGGTCCTTCCACTTGGAAACCCAGGCGCTGCCTGATCTGTCCCCCAGTTCCTCCTGTGGTGGTTTTTAAAAATAAAACATTTGGTTTTAGAATAGGTTTAGATTTAGAGAAAAACTGTGACGAGAGTAGAGTTTGATTTGAAGGACTTTGGGACATCTACACCTGCCTTCTGGCTCCTTCTGTTTGGCACTTGCAGAGTAAGATCTGGAGGTTTGGGGTGTGAGTCTGCTGGATTCTTTTATTAAGGATTATGAAGGCCGTTTGGATGCCTTGTTTAGCATTTAACCTGGGTAGTTATTCAACTGTATCCAGATGATGGTGGGTCCTTAGTGATAGACTGGGTGCGGGCAAAAGAAATGGAAGTCCGATGAACTTAACTGAAGGTGGAGACTTCTGCCTGTGGTTCTTCATTGTGACAGGGAGCAAGGGATCCAGTTGTTCTGGGTGGGCTCCAAGGCTGGTTCCATCAGATTTTGCATTTTATGGTCATGTAAGATTTCAAACGATAGGGAGAAAGTAGAACCTGCCCTGGGTTGTTTTACCCAGATAAACAAGAACCAGATAGATAACAACTGCTTTTTTTAAAGGCTGTATGCTTCCCCCATTATTTATTAAAAACGAAAGGACATTATAATATCAAAAAGTAGGAAAAAAACATAGATCTCAATAAAGACAACCTGTTCCCAGACAGGGCGGTTTGTAAAATTTGTACATTTTCCCTGCAAATTGCCAACAGCATTTAGGAATCCTTCCCTGATCCACTTTATCTTGGGGTGGATCATATCCACTTTTCCCCTTGAGGTGGCTCACTGAAGCAATGAAAGAGCTTCGGTCTGTGCTATGGCTCTCATCTGTGTGCCTGTGGGGTGACCTGGAGTGAGACCCGCAGGCCCACCTATGAGTGCCTCATGGCCCTGGAGGTGACACTGGCCTTTTGCTCTCTCTGCTCTCCAGGATTACTATAAGATCATTAAAACGCCTATGGATATGGGAACAATAAAGAAGCGCTTGGAAAACAACTATTACTGGAATGCTCAGGAATGTATCCAGGATTTCAACACTATGTTTACAAATTGTTACATCTACAACAAGGTGAGATGTGGGGGCGGGTGCCTGGGGGCTGGGGAGGAGAAGGCAGGAATGTCTGGGGCCCTTGGGCTGGGTTGCTGGGTGTGAGTGGGATTGGAGTCTGACGGGAGGAGAAGGAGGAGACAGAGGTAATAGGACCTGTGGTTTTCCCTGTGACTGGGCGTGCTTCTTTCTTGGAGAGGCGGGTGCTGGCCGGATTTTACTTTCAAGCCATCCTTGTTAGCTTGAAGCATGTGCTCCTGATGCCCTGGGGATTTTGGTTCTTGAGCAGGCCTAATAGAGAAGACGTGAGAAGGACAGTGACGACTCATGAAGAAGTCTGGGTGTTGTGAATTGTCAGGAAGGAGCCTACTAAAATGTAGTTGTGCAAAGGTGTGCTTAAACGGAAGCCTTGATGTGAGAGAGGGTGCGTTGACAGCTTGTGGCCATAGATTCAAGTGTCCCCTGATCTGAACATCGCTTCTTAACCTGGTAGCCAAACCTTTCAGCTCAGCTGTGCCATTAAGCTGGATCGTTTGTTTACAGTTCAGACCACAGATGTGATTAAAATCACCCTTTTCAAATAGAATAGCCGTGGAGGGAAACACCATACAGAACTCAGCTTTTGACCCCTGCTGGTGTAGTGGGTAAAATTGCCCAGAAAGGAAGGGGAGGTGAGTTTCTTGAAGTTTACTGTGTTTTTTAAAGTCTCAGCTCTTTCCTTAAACCGCTAGGTTTAAGGAAAATGTTGCACAAATGAGGTTCTCAGTTAAGAGCTAAGTGGAAACAACATGTTATAGATGAGGCGAAAGAGTGGGGACCATAAGGCAGTGCAAGATGGGCATTTCCCCGAGCCCCGGTGAGCTGCCTTGGGGGTATGCTGGGGAACACTGTCAGAGCCTTGCTAATGTAGCTGTGGCAAGAAATCCTGTGTAATTGAAGTATTTCTGGTGAAGTTGAATTGTGTCAAAGGAGGGCCTCTGTCTGTGATTGGCAGAGCTTGTTAGATGCTTAAGGCATTAGGGTGGTTTCTCAGACAGGCCAGAGCTTAAAAGACTAGAGAGGGAGTTGCTCGCTCAGCAGATCTGCAGGCACATGAGCTTCTGTGATGCCTGGTAGTGTAATTGTGTTGTGGCCCTTTGGGGTTCAGATGGAGGAAGGACCCTGAATACGATGCTTCACACTTGAGGGCAGGGAGTGGGTGGCACAGGGTAGGGAGCTCTTGCTCTGTCTGGAAAGGTGGGGAGGGATTTCCGAGCCTCATCCCATGTGTTTCCTCTTCCAGCCTGGAGATGACATAGTCTTAATGGCAGAAGCTCTGGAGAAGCTCTTCTTGCAAAAAATCAACGAACTGCCCACAGAAGAGACTGAGATCATGATAGTCCAGGCAAAAGGAAGAGGACGTGGGAGGAAAGAAGCAGGTAGGGTCCCTCTGGTGCCGCCAGCACTGTTTGCCTGACACTGAAATAGAAAGTAGGCTTTATTTCTCCCCAATCTTTGCCTCTTCTCCAAGTTCAGTGTAGGACTAGGAGTGATGGGAAGACGGCTACACTGTACACTGGCTGCCGTGTTGCTGTTTGGATATGGTGGGACCAGGTTCCGTGTTGGACCTGCCCCAGAGGGTCACGTGACTCTGTGACCCTCCCGCAAAGTAGAACTAATTGGGCCCTGCTTTTTTTTTGAAGGGCTTTGATTAAAAAGGAGGTATAACTTTTTGAAAGCATTTTTAAGTTAAATTTGAGTTTTTCACCCAGCCGGTGCCATATAGTCTTTGCTTTTCCGTTTTAGAGAAAAGAAATTAACCTGACCAAAGACAGTCTTAATAACTAATATTCCTATCCTGGTGCCTTGAGGTTTATTTGAATTATCTTAATGTGCTTGTGTCTGAGCCATGCCTGCTTTTTGATGCCCAGTCTTCTGAAGTCCAACCGTCTTTTCTAACTCAGCACCCACCCCCTGCCTCCCAGCCTGACACAGGATTCCGAAGGCTAGCTGGTAGGGAGTAGCCCACTCATGAAATGTTTCTGTCTAGGAAAAGCTCTAACAGCTGCCTTCTGCATCTTGCCATCTGCAGCTCTGTGCTACAGAACAGCCATGGTTGCAAGGTGGCCATGCTGTGAGTTGTTTGCTTCTCTAAGGAGCAGGCTTTCACCTGACTTCCCACCCTGCTCAGAAGCGGTGGCTTCACAGGAACAAAGGGGTTTGGTTAGATTGCCTGCAGTGCTGAGGTGGTCTGGAGGGTCACCCCTTAACCGCAGAACCTGCCGAGAGGCCTCCAGTATCTATCCTTACAACCAAGGAGCCCCGACCTCACTCCCTGGGACCAGGGCCTTTGGTCTACACATGGGGCAGTTGTGTGTCTGGACTCATCCGCCCAGCTGCAGGGAGGCAGCCTGAGCTAGTCACGAAGGGCAGCAGTCATCCAGCCTCCCCCCATGCTTCAGCGAGGTGGGGGCTTGCCAGTTTCCAGAAACTTTGGCCAGGGCTTCTGAGGCTGGTCCCCTGCCAGAAACGCTTACTCAGAAGGCAGTGCTTCTGGGAATGAAGACAGCTCTTCCCAAAAGCGCCAAGGAACGTTTTTCTGCTCTCCATCCACAGTCCTGGTGCTCACTGTCAGCGTGTGCTTCTGCTCCTTCAGCTCAGGTCTCCATGCTCATAAAGGAGTCTTTGTGCCTGTGTTAGGACTTGCTGCCAGGACACCCCAGGAAGTGTGGAATGCAGTGAGGCACTGCTCTTGGAGTCCCCGGGGCAGGTAGACAGATTTGGCCAAGGTCCAGGGTTTTCGCACTGTTCTGTCTCTTAGGCAAATAGCTACAGCGACACTGTGTGCCATGCATGTGTGCCATGCTTGTGCCATGCAGATGTGTCCTCATTATGTGTAGCAATGTCCCCACAAAGCCAGCATGTGTCACATGTGGCATCTAACTGTCCCTTTTATGATTGGTAGGGACGGCGAAACCTGGCGTCTCTACAGTACCAAACACGACGCAAGCATCGACTCCTCCGCAGACCCAGACCCCTCAGCAGAACCCTCCGCCCGTGCAGGCCACACCTCACCCATTCCCCGTGGTCACCCCAGACCTCATCGTCCAGACCCCTGTCATGACAGTGGTGCCTCCCCAGCCACTGCAGACGCCCCCTCTGGTGCCTCCCCAGCCACCACCCCCACCCGCACCAGCCCCCCAGCCTGTGCAGAGCCACCCACCCATCATCGCGGCCACCCCACAGCCTGTGAAGGTGAGTGTCCCATGCGTGTGTGTGGCCTAGCTTGGCCTCTAGTGGGCTCCTGCCTCCTCAGCTAGCCTCCCCTCTTTGTCTTTGCTCCATAGCAGTGAGGCTTGCAGGAGACAATCACTCATCCTTGCCAGTGCTTTATGCAGAGCCTGTCCTGGCTCCTGGGGCACTTGTGGGTGTTTCTGGGGGGACTGTGCTCTGTTTAACTCAGCACAGCCCAGAAGCTGCTGCCCTACCGACCCACAGATCCCATAATCGAGTCACTTCCCAGGGGTTGCTGCCCCCTACCTGTTTCTATTTTTGACTGCATATTTGCAGATACTGTCCAAATAGTCTGCACGGTGCCTTCTGTGGGTGGCCCGAGTGGCAAGGCTTGGTTCTGGGAGGAGAGTTCCCTGGCTTTAAGTAGGAAACTGCTTCAGGAGGTGTTTTTGGCTTCTGGAGAGCAGATCCCACACACAGCTCTGTGCTTTCTCCTGCCACTGGCAGGGTCCTGTCCCAGCTGCAGACCATAGTGGTGGGACAGGGTCTCAACATCCTCAGTCTTTCACCTGTGGGATTACTTTTGGGGCCCCATTGCCCATAAGTGTTGGGACCCTAAAAAGGATCTGGCTTCAGGAGTGCCCCTGAGGGTGAGACCGCTGTGCTGGCTGCTGCCTCTGACCCTGCCTGTCGCACCTGTGTCCGTGCTCTCCGCAGACAAAGAAGGGGGTTAAGAGGAAAGCGGACACCACCACCCCCACCACCATTGACCCCATTCACGAGCCGCCCTCGTTGCCCCCGGAGCCTAAGACCACCAAGCTGGGCCCCCGGCGGGAAAGCAGCCGGCCTGTGAAGCCCCCGAAGAAGGACGTGCCTGACTCGCAGCAGCACCCAGCACCGGACAAGAGCAGCAAGGTCTCAGAGCAGCTCAAGTGCTGCAGTGGCATCCTCAAGGAGATGTTCGCCAAGAAACATGCAGCCTACGCCTGGCCCTTCTATAAGCCCGTGGACGTGGAGGCGCTGGGCCTACATGACTACTGCGACATCATCAAGCACCCCATGGACATGAGCACAATCAAGGTGAACAGATATCCCCCTGGCGCTAGGGAGGGTCTCCCCAGGACAGGAAAGGGCAGAACCTCCAAGGCCTGTCCCAGAGGAGGGCCTAGGCCTGGGTCTCCCAGGCATTGGGCCCTCATAACTGTCTAGACTTCTCACAGCAGCCCAGAGAAGCCCATTGCCCCCTGCTGGGAATTGTGGGGCCGTCCTCTGAGACAATGTGCCGAATTTGGTCAGAGAGAGCAGGGCCCACAGGTGCCTTGCACACAGCAGGTGCTCCAGGAGAGTTTGGGGGTTGGTGACTTCGCTGGGCTCTGTGTCAATCTCCTCTTGGTAGAAGGCACATGGCAAGTGCTAGCATTTTCACTGTAGTACTTTGAGGCGTTTTTGGTTTTGTTTAAACTTTTTTGGATTTTTCTCCTCTGGGAGTGGAGTAAGACCATCAAAACACGTGACAGGCAGAGCAGGGGACAGTGCTGTGTTCCTCTTGACCAGTATCCTGTCCTGTGTCACCAAGACAAGTGTATGCCATGTCAGAAGTGGGCCTACCCCTCTCTTTATGGTTCTGGCTTAAGCTCTGCCTCTGTGGATCCTCTGTCCACTTGCCCCCTAGCCAGTCACAGTGACCCCAGTGGGTGGGTTTGGATGCTAGCAGGGCAGTTGCTACTTGCTGTTGAGTGTCTCCTGCACCTTATGCTGTGAACTAGGTTGATGACCTCACCCCACTGGGGTCTGGGTTAAACCCAGAGCCACTGAGAAGCCAGTTTGCTCCTGCAGGCAGCCCTCGCTGCCACTGCTTCTCCATTGGAGCAGGGACAGACATGGCTAACTAGGACCTGTCTTATCTTTCCAGTCTAAACTGGAGGCCCGTGAGTACCGCGATGCTCAGGAATTTGGTGCCGATGTCCGATTGATGTTCTCCAACTGCTACAAGTACAACCCTCCTGACCATGAGGTGGTGGCCATGGCCCGCAAGCTCCAGGTGAGGCTCTTGGGAAGCTCCAGGCACGGTGTCCTGAGGCAGAGCAGGCGGGGGCCCTGGGCGGGCCAGGCCTCTGTGGGCCTTGACAGATTTTATTTCTGTCACTTGCTTTGGTATAATGCCTTGTTGCTTTGGAAGAGTGGACTCAAGTCAGGATTATGTGTACATTTTACATTGGGATTATTTCATTATAGTTAAAGCAGGGTGGTTGGTTCTGGTTTTTGTCTTGGGCATTTTGGGGTGTTCCACTGAAAGCCCCCTCCCCCCACCTGCATTCGGTTGCCCTTGGCTGGAAGAGCGAGAGTGCTGTGCATGTCCCAATCTCTTCTCCAAAACAGACCTGTCTCAAGTCGGCGGGGGACACTCTTGCCAGGTAGACACTTTGTCACAGTTGTGAGCTGAAGTAACTGCTTGACTATGGGCATTTCTTCACCAGAGCCTTGAAAGCCTTTGCCTTCCACCTGCAGAGCGGCTGCTTCTTAGATGTTCCCTATGGCCACAATGCCCTAGTGGGTGGGATTAGTGGCCCCTTCAAGTTGATCCTGGGTGGTGCATGCTGTAGAGTGCACACATGGGTGGAAGGGATGGGGCAGATTACAGCATAAATATGTGAACTAACTCCACTTTTATTAAAAAAAGGAAAAATATGTACCCAAATTTAAACAGTGGTTCCCTGTGGATAGAAAGATCAGGGGTTAAAAATTATGGAGAATAAAGTCGATATTTAGTACCGTTAACAATCTGCTTTTTTTTTTTTTTTGTATATTCTTTAAAATTACACATATTAGAAAAATGCACAACTCTCTTCTCCCCAAGGCCCCAGGTTGCTTCTGCTTTCGGGGTCAAAGCAGGCTGTGGGCTGGGCTACCTGCTGTCACAAGGTGCAGGCACTCTGGCCGGAGCTCAGGTCCAGTCTGCACATTCACGTCCGAACCCCACCTGGCAGCTCAGTGAGGCTTCCTCACACCTGGCTTTCCCAGTCATCTGTGAAGTCCTTCCAGGGCAGAAGTGAGGACTTAGAAAGCCCTTGGTGACCTGTGGGTCCATGCCAGTCAGAGGTCGCCTGAGCCCCGCTGCCCACCTGCCTCCCAGCTCTGTTGGCTCTGCACGTTATCCCAGACTTGCCACCATAGTGTCTCCTACCTCCTCATACTGGAGCCCAGGCACGGTCTCCCCTGTTCTTTCACTTGGCTCCTGTCCAGGTCAGGAGCTGCCTTGGTCAAAGGATGTGTCCTGAAACTCATGGAGGAGAAAAAAAACTTCTTACTAGTATGGACCTGGGTATTGTTATTTAAACGCACACTCAGACTGAAAGCGTTCAATTTCTACTGCTGGTTTCTTGGTTTTGTTTTTTCTGAGTTTTTGTCTAGGGGGTGGGGCTCTCTCTCTATTTGGTGCTGCCTGTCTGCTTTCTTCGCAAAGCAGGTGCTGTTTCAACTGTCTTGCGTTGCCCATCCTTGAAGGAACTCAGGCTTTATAATTCTACTGCAGTTCTCACACATGGCCACCAGGTGGCGGGGTACCCTCAGAACTGTGCCTTAGACAGACCCTCCTTCCCACCTGCCCTCTTCTGAGGATTGGAGGGTAGCATTTGCCCAGATGGCTGCCCATACCCTTTATTTGCCCTCATGCAAACAAGTTCTCTGCCAGCACCAAAGATTGCTATTTTGATCTACTTTATTTAAGAAGAAGAAAACATCGTTTAATACATTTTAGCTCTCTGCTTCTTAACTTCTGTGCCTGTTTTAAGGTTTTTTTGCGTTTTTCTCCTTCTGGGAGTGGTGTGAGCATGCCCAAACATGAAGTTTACCTGGTTTATCTGAAACCAGGCCACTGAGATGTTTGCCACACAGCAGCCTCTTCCTCAACACTGACTTCAGATACCAGGCTGGACTGCATGGGGTCCTTGCCTTCAAGGAGGGTCCGCTTCAGGTGGGGGTCCCTGGGTGGGCTGCTCAGCACGGGCCTCCCTCTGCCCCAGCCTGCTTTGCCCACTGCAGGGTGGGTCGCCATGTTACTGAAAGTAACATGCCAGGAGGTGGGTGAGGGCGTCTCTGCTTCAGTGGCAGAGTTGACATGGCAGGCTCCCTGTGTGGGCTTCTTGTCTGGAAGGCAGTGTTTGTGGCATTTTGGGCTTTGTTTTTCTTCTTTCTCTGTAAGCTCTCTGGGATCAGCATGGTTTAGATGGCTGGAATCCCCAGCGAGGAGGGGGAGAAACAAGTCCCAGCCCTTATTTGCCTTTGTAAGAGATGTTGGGACCTACTGTCTCTTAATTAGGCTAGGATTTACCTGGGAAGCAATAAAGAAAAGGATCCACTTTGTTTTCTCTTCCAGCCTCTAAATTCAGGGCCTTTTGAAAACCCACATCCTGTCACCAGGAGCCTCTGCGCTCGGGATTTCCTCACGAGCCCAAGGGTGGCGGTGGCTTGGGCTGAACTCCACCAGCCCAACTCCACCAGGGCCTAGAGCTGCTAGTGGTACTGCTCTCTACTCTCTATTCTATCCTGAAGTAAATTACTTAGGAAGTTTGGTTCCCATGTGGATTACCAAGGTTGTATTTTTTTTTTTTTTTTTTTTAAGAACAAGTGAGAATTAAAGGTGGTATACAATTGTTTTTTCACGAAGGAAAAAATTAAACTGAAAAACGTGTTGGGATCCTGCATTAGATCCCAGAGGCACGAAGCTTTCAAGGTGTGTATGTGTGTATCTTCCACTCATGGCTGCATCCCCAGCACCTGGCACCTGGTGGATCTCCCACTGCCTGTATTCCATCTTGCTCTTCCCAGCCTCTGTACCCTGGGTGTGGCCAAACCCCTCAGCAATGTCCAGGCTTGGCTGAGGAGTTGCCAACTGGGCCATACTTCCCTCGAGGGTCTCCATCTGCACTGACTGCAGGTTGGTTCACCTGAGGGGAGTCTCTCGGCACTGCGACCTCCCAGTACTTGAGCATCTCTTTCACTGAAGAGGGTGGGGGCATGCTTCCTCCATGAATCTGGTGCAGCCTGAAGTAGATGACCCTGGTCAACATTCTAGCGAGAGGAGATACTTGCTCTGAAACCAGTGTGGTTTGCTGATGTGAAGAATCACAGTGTGGCCCAGATTCTTGGAGTGGGGTGGAGATGACGCCTGCTGGGTGGAGGAGCTCGGTCCACGTTGAGACAGTGCTGGCCCTAGTGTGGGAGGCCCTTCTTAGGGAGTGAATGAGTATGCACTCGGCCGCTGTCCGCCCTGCGCCACCCCCCACCCCACCCCCGGTTTTCACAACAGCCATAGGCTGTGGAGGAGGAACAGGGATGTCCTTGTGGCAAGGGTGGTGCTATCTGGCAGCCGGCAGGGGAGACGGGGCACACAAACAAGTGGCATGGGGCAGTTTCTGCTTGGTAAAGGGTGACCTGCCAGTATACCATGTGCTTGGCCTTGCCCGCCACCCCCCTCCCTTCATGGAGTCCTGACGCCCTGACACCTTCTCAGGCCTGCCCCCTACTTCTTGGCAGCAGGCCTGGCTCTGCTGGACGCTCATGTGGGTCAGTCGGGAACCTGAGTCTACCCACATCCAGGGCACTGTGGGCAGGGAGAGTCTTGCTCACCGCCCCACCAGGGCCTCTGCTCCAGTGTGAAGCCCCCTTCTCCTTGGCAGCCGGGGCAGTAATGGTCTCTGGTCATGTGTTGTCTCCCCCATCCCGAGTGTCTTATCTTTTGCCCTCAGGATTTCCTGCTCCAGGATTTCCTTCTGAAGAAATTAGAAAGGGATTGATCTTCTAGTACTTCACAGCAGAACCACTTAGACAGCAGAGTCCAGGCAGGCGCCTTGCTGGGAGGAGGAGTTGCCTCAGTAGAGGCTGCTCTGGGAGGTCTGGAAGGGAGGGGACAGAACCCCAGATGTGTGGGATGCGTACCCTGCTACCCAGGTTACTGTTTCTCTCCCAGTTGCCTGGGGGAGGGGAAACCTGAAGCTGTGTTTCCAGAGACATCAGAAGGGGCTTCTAGGTCTGACTCTGTCGAAGTGTGCCCCATTTTGAAACAGCAGCCTTGGAGCTTGACCCCATGGCCCTCCTGGGCCACGCTGCTCTTTGCGGTGTTGACTCCCACTTGAGGAAGGCCCCTTCCATTGTGTGAGATGCCCTGTGCACTGACTTATTCCAGGCTTTAAGGAGGTGCCAAAATCCTGCTGGAAAGCCAGCCCTGTTCCTTCCACTGCTGTCCTTTGTCCTGAGTCATCATTGGATTTATGATGATGGAGCCCTTGGGGTAGGGAGGGATCTGCCAGCTGGCTGGCCAGGCAGCACACAGCTGGACCCCCAGATGCCCAGGCAAGGCTGCTGCCCCCTGAGCTCTGTGACCCTACCCAGTTCCATCGATTCCTGGATCTTAGAGTTGAAAGATCTCGGACTCTCCTGCGGTGGGATCCTGTGCTCAGTAGCCCTGTGGCCTCTGCTGGGGTTGCTTGCGCCTCACAAAGCTGGCTTCCTTCTGTAGCCTGTCCTCAGCACCCCTATATCCACTGTCCTATACCTTTCTCACCTTGCCTGGCATGCCTTGGAGACATAGTTGCCAGGGGCATGGCTCTATTCAGTTATGTGCCCCAGAGATGATCTGAGGAGTAGGGAGGCAGACACAGACAATGTGTGTGCTGCAGCAGGGGCTTGGCCTCCTCACTGGCCACACGTTCTGTGCTGGGCACATTCCTACAGGGCCTTTGCACGTGCTGTTCCATCTGCCTGGGCGCTCTTTAAAACTGCATACCCTACCCACTCCCTGTGGGAATGTGAACCAGAAGTGGGCAGAGCCTCCTGTTCTATTCACTGTTGTATCCTGGTGCCCAGCCCTGGCATCCAGAAGGCTCCCTTGGGATGTGCTGACCGAGTGAGCAGTGAGTGTTCTGATGGGAGCCTCAGAGCGCTCTTTGTGTGGGTCCTGCCCTTGTCCCACCATGTGTTTTTGTTTTTTTTTGTGTGTGTGTGTGAGGAAGACCAGCACTGAACTAACATCCGATGCCAATCCTCCTCTTTTTTGCTGAGGAAGACTGGCCCTGGGCTAACATCTGTGTCCATCTTCCCCTACTTTATATGGGACGCCGCCAGAGCGTGGCTTAACAGGTGGTGCATCGGTTTGCGCCCGGGATCCGAACCTGCGAACCCCAGGCCGCCGCAGCAGAGCTCGCGCACTTAACCGCTTGCGTCACCAGGCCGGCCCCCGGCCCACCATCTGTTGAGGGTCCTCAGACTGACATCCTCAGTGGGCCGGCTGCCTCCTGGGACCTGGGTCACATGTCCTTGCCTGGGCCGTCTCTCCCAGGGAGCTGGTGCCAGGCCGTGTCAGGAGCACCTTTCTCTTCAGAGTGAGATTTGAGAGAGGAGTGTCAGAAGAGGTGTCAGGGGCCCTGACTGGCTTCTCTCCTTGGTGGCAAGGAAAGGATCAAAGAGGCCCAGCCCTCTTTGACCTTCCTGCTGGCTTCCTGTCAAGTTGACCCCAGCAGCCAGTGAGGCTGGGGTGATGCTGGGCCATGGCCCAGGAGTCCCTTCACCCACATGCCTAGGCACCCAGCAGCCCTCACGGGCACGGCTTCCCCCCACCCCACCCCCAGGATGTGTTCGAGATGCGCTTTGCCAAGATGCCGGACGAGCCTGAGGAGCCTGTGCTGGCTGTGTCTTCCCCTGCTGTGCCACCACCCACCAAGGTTGCGGCCCCGCCCTCATCCAGTGACAGCAGCAGTGATAGCTCCTCTGACAGTGACAGTTCAACTGATGACTCCGAGGAGGAGCGAGCCCAGCGGCTGGCAGAGCTCCAGGAGCAGGTGAGGGCACAGGTAGCCCCATTCCCAGTGCCCCCAGAATCCATGGACTGGGGTCGTCTCCCCACAGGTCTCCATGAGGTGGTTTTGGCTCTACCCACTGGTCCCCTTGTGCTAGGTCATGGGCGTTTTGAACATATACATATGTGCACTGTGGGTATGGAGGCAGGGAGACATGGCTGTTCTCTGGGCCGAGGCGAGACTGCCGGATCTCGATCCTTCCAGTTTCTGGAAGGAGGGGGCTGAGCCAGGATGTCTGTCTTTCCTGGGGCTGCTTGGTTGCTCTTCTCCCTACAAGCTGGCCTTCAGGCCGTTAGTGACCCGTGTGTCTGTGCGCTCCTGCCTGGCCTCCTAGGGACCCTCCTGCTGGGCCCGGGATGGCCTTGGGGCTCAGCATCTGTCTGCTTGGGTGGCTCCTTTGGCGAGGACACTGGCCACCCTTGGAGTCCAGGGTCTGGGTGGGCGTGAGCACTTTGGCAGTCTGATGGGATGGCAGGTCTCAAAGCTGAGGCCTAGTCCCCTCCCTGCCTCCCTCATCCACATCCTGGCAGTCCTCGCAGAGACCAGGGTGACAGGCACATGTCCTGCCTGTCTTCTCCCCAGCTCAAAGCCGTGCACGAGCAGCTTGCAGCCCTCTCGCAGCCCCAGCAGAACAAACCAAAGAAAAAGGAGAAAGATAAGAAGGAAAAGAAAAAAGAAAAGCACAGAAAGAAGGAGGAAGTGGAGGAGAGTAAGAAAAGCAAAGCCAAGGAGCTGCCTCCCAAAAAGACCAAGAAAAACAACAGCGGCAGCAGCAACGCAAGGTCTGTGCCCCCTGAGAACGACCGGGTGGGCCCCGCCCACCATGCTGGGTGGGGAGGCTGCCTCTGTGCCTCTTTCTCAGGTGAGCCTTGCGCTCACCGTGTTTGGCAGGGGAGGGAGGATAGCAGGTAGTGTGGTTCAGGTGGCCAGGACAGGCCACAGCAGTGCTGTGCCCCTGGGAAGGCATCACCAGCATCTCTGGTTTCCTGTGAAGACGAGGCAGGTGGGGTGTGGAAGCCTCCCCAAGCCCCACATGGAGGAATGGGTGCCCAGCTTCACCAGGGAACCCGTTCCTGACGGTGTCTGTATTGTCCCTTCATAGCAAGAAGGAGGCGGCTCCCATGAAGAGCAAGCCCCCTCCCGCGTATGAGTCAGAGGAGGAGGACAAGTGCAAGCCCATGTCGTACGAGGAGAAGCGGCAGCTCAGCTTGGACATCAACAAGCTCCCTGGCGAGAAGTTGGGCCGCGTGGTGCACATTATCCAATCGCGGGAGCCTTCGCTCAAGAACTCCAACCCTGACGAGATCGAGATCGACTTTGAGACCCTGAAGCCGTCCACCCTGCGGGAACTGGAGCGCTACGTCACCTCCTGTTTGCGGAAGAAAAGGAAACCTCAAGGTGCTCTTGGGCCCCCTGGGGCAGGGTGGGGTGTTCCCAGTCCCAGCCAAGGGAGGGTGCTGGGCAGGTGGACTGAGCTGTTTCCTCTTGCCTTCCAGACTCAGCTCTCCCCATCTGCAGGCTTTTTTTCCAGTTATAAAATCTGTGTCCTAGACATAGAAACCTCTGGAGGGTTGTGACATCGCACTCGACCCTGGGCTGTTGGTGCCTTTCTCGAGCTCTCTGCCTAGTGGCTGTCTGGGGTCCACCTGGACCTCGGTGTCCTAAGCCTTGCTCTAAGCAGCAGCTTCTTTCATCCTCAGCTGCCTGCTGCTGAGTCTTCCCCAAAAGCTATCCCTCCTCTTTGGGGCCTCTGGGGGGCATGGCCAGGAAGAAAGGCCTTAGATGGGCACTGTGCCTACATGCTGTCCTCCTCCAGCTCTGCGTGGTCCCCTCTCTACAACAGTCTCCCAGGCAGCTCTTCTATGTTATAAATGCCTTGTCTTGGCTTATAGTTTTTGTCTTAAGACCAATAGGACTTAGGATCCACATCAGGGTGTGGCACACAGCCTTTGTCCCAGCCTGGACTGACTCCTGGGGGTCTTGAGCCCCCCTCCCCAGGGCCCTGGACAGTGATACTCCACCCTGGGTCTGCACACTGAGGTGTTGGGAGACTGCGGGGCTCTTTCCATGTCTTACTTTGTCTCTGGCTTTCGTGTCCCCTTTGGGTTCTCCTCACCCACTGCCAGAAAAGTAGCTAAGGGAGTCCAAGCCCAGTAGTTTGTCGTGTTGGGGAATTCCCTCCTGCCTTGTCTCTTACTCCTTGATGAAGCCTGCAGAGGGTGTTCTGAAAGATTGGAGGGACCTTGAAACTCCAGCATAAGCCAGGTTTTTGGCTGTCATGCAGTAGGTTAAGCACCTTACTGCTGGGAAATGTGGGGTCCGTTGGATCTGGGACGATCACAGCTGGCTGTTAGGAGCAGGCCTCTGGCTCACAAGGCACGGACTCCCCACTGGCCCTTCCTCTGGGCGGTTGGGGTTTGCCTGTGGCTAACAGCAGCCCTCTGGGTTGGGGCCCTGCCTGATGGAGTCACTGTTGCTTTATTGTAGCCGAGAAAGTTGACATGATTGCCGGCTCCTCCAAGATGAAGGGATTTTCATCCTCGGAGTCTGAGAGCACCAGCGAGTCCAGCTCCTCTGATAGCGAAGACTCTGAAACAGGTTAGGCCTCTTATTGGCGTCTTGTCACACTCCTGCCTATGCTCAGCACTGCTCGGTCCTGTGTCCAGGTGCTAGAGACTGGAGATGGCAGTCATAAGAACTGGCTGGGCCCTCCCACCTGTCCATCTACCCAGCCACAATGTTAACACTAACTGGTACGGTGTCCCCCCCATTGCCTGGGCTAGGGGGAGGATGAGTGACAGAGGGTGGTGGCGTGGATCTTAGTGTGACGCTGTCCAGCCCCACAGTCTTCCCTGCATCACAGTCGCATGCAGCGTGGCCTTTCCAGGTGATGTGCTTCAGCAGATGTGGAGCAGCCTACTCTTGGCCCTGCTGTCACCTGGGCTCAGGGCACTGCCATCCTCCCCAGAGTGTGCTCACTGCTGTGTTGGCTGCCCCTAACTCTGCACGCACTTGGACATATCCTGTACCTCTAACAGTCCCTTCTCTCCATGCTCTGTGGGCCTGCACATGTGTCCCTAGTGCCTTGGCAGACCCCATTGCCCACCTGAGCAGCAGCTTTGGTGTGGAAGGTGGGGGCAGGTGGAGATGCTAGGAGCTGCACAGTGGTGGGGAGGGAGGCCCTTCCTTCAGATGTGTGCTTTCCTGATTGTTCTCAGGGAAGCAGATACTCAGACTGACCCAGAGGAGAGGCTAGGAAAGAAGCCTGGCCAACAACCCTTTCTGTGAGGTGTAGCTGGTGTTTGTGTCTGGGGGAGCAGGGTGGCCCCTGGGCAGGTCTTGTTCCATCAGCTGAGCATACCATCTGCAGACTGCCCAAGAGGTAGCCCAAGGCCTCGGGCACGCCCCTCCAGACAAGCTGCCACTATGTATATCCACAGTGGAAAGTGTTTGGGAAACAAAGACTCCCAGTATGTTCTTTCATGGACCTATCCTGTGTCTGGTAGTTTATTCTAACTGGAAATAAATGATAAGCCCTGCTTAATCAGGTCATGTAAATAATATGACCTAATGGGACCATGGAAGTTTGAGGATCACTTAGAGCAGCTGGGAAGAATGACGCAGCTCCAAGGCGTGTGCTTGCCCAGGTCCTCATGTGGGCTCAGCCACCTCTGTCCAGGGGGCCCTGGGGCCTGTCTCTATTCCTCTTCCTTGTACAGTGAGGGCACCAGGCTTCCCAGGTGACTGGGGGGCTCACCTTGGAGTGAGTTAGGGCGTCTCCAGGCTTCCAGATGCTCTGGACTACCTTATTTTCAATGGGCCCAAATGAGATGAAGTTCATTAAGCCATATTCTGTATCTCTTGAGTTCCTGCTGTGGACAGTTGGCTGGGGGCCTCATCACCAGCCTTTGCTCTCTTTTTCTTGTTTCCTAACCAGCACTCCCCTGTTGCTTTTTTATCCAATAGCCAGCAGAGGGCACTGTGCCCCCACCTGCCCAGGAAGGGCAGGGCCCACCGCCCTCAGCAGGGTGAATGGCTATATTCTTGGGCCCAGTTAGCATTCCTGGTGGCACTGCTGACTTCTCCTTTTGGGTGCCAGCCGTGCCCCGGATTTGCCTGTGCACTGGGGTTTTGTACCTCCTGTGTTTTCTAGCAGGCTGCTTCTGCTAGGGCCTTTTGTCTAAGGATCTGAGCGACTGAAAGAAAACCCCACAGGCTGAAATTGTCAGGGGACCTGATTATTAAAACAGCATGGCTTGGCCTAGTGGGAACTGCTCTGGCCCCAGCGTGACACCTTGGGGCTGTGACCATCACATCCTGATGTCCTGATTGTGAGTCTCTGACTGTATAGTTTGTCACCGGCCCCTCAGCTCCTCTCCAGGGTGCGTTTGCTCCTCAGCGCCCTGCACCCCGCCTGCTGTGGGGCGGCTGTGACGGCATTTCCAGCAGCTCTTTGCTGCTGCCGAGATTTTTTTTCACATTTTTCCCTCTTTTAAAGAAAGTGGAAAGATTGTGCAACAAGTAATCTGAGAGTCCTGGGAACAGCTGTCCTGGCGGGAAGGAGGGTGAGATTTACAGTCTCGGAGCTGCCGACCTGCAGGCTCCCAGGCTCCAGCGATCTGGCCCTGGCGGCTCCCTTGGCTGCCTCCAGCTCATCGCTCTTCCCAGGCGCCCTCCCCATCTTGGGTTTTGCGGGCCTCCCTTTTGTCTTAGTGGTCCTGGCTTTTGCTTTGCCGTCTGTGTGCACTGGAGAGCTCTATCATGGGCCGGCTGGGTGCCTCAGCTCTCAGGAGGGACCCACTCTGTAGGTTTGTGCCATGTGGCTCAGGCACTATGGGTCCCAAAGCGGGAGCCTATGCCCCTACACCACTGCATGTTGTGGCCATCCCTCATCCCATCCTGAACAGGAAACTGCACTCGCTTCCTGGGTACCTCCTCCAGCAGCTGTTCATGCTGGGTCCGTGGAGCCAGACAGCCCCGGTTTCTGTGACCAGTTACAGGCAGTTCTGCCTTGGAGTAGGGAAGGGTGGGGGCGCTGAAGGTATTTCCCTTGCACTTTTGGGGCTTAATTGTTTTACCCTCCATGTTCTTGTGTTTCCACTTGGATTGGAGCCGAAATTCCTGAAACGGCCTATTTTTGTTATATGTACCAAGGGTCAGTTTTGCCGACACAGCCCCGAGACATGAATCACCAAAAGAAACCGAACAGAGGCACTCAAGTGGGCTAGAAGGGGAGGTATGTGGACCCCTCCTCTGGCTGCGGTCCGTAGTCAAGGATGCTGTGGACTGCTCCAACCACGGGCTGGTCCTTGGGGCCGGGCTACAGTTCAGGGAGGCGGTGCACCCACAGATTCTTTCCTGGCTCAGTCCCAGGACACTACGTGTTCCTCCCCCCGCCCAGGAGCAGCAGCACTGTCAGTCAGTCCCACCACATCCTCTGAACCCAGCTATTACTTGGGTTGTGGTCTTTAGTTGATATCCCATTCTGGCTAAAGTCTAGATCTGCTTGAGAGCTCAGTATTAGGAGGGAGGGTACAAGTGCCATTTCCCGCTGCTCCTAAGGTGTCTGTCGACCTCAGCTGGGCAGGCGGAGGCTGGTGCCCTGGTTCTCCCCTTTCCACTGCTGTCTCAGGTGGGCTGTGGACAGAGCTGTGGCCTCCGTCACCAGTGCTGGGATCATGTCTGCTTTGCTCGTGGAGCCAGGGATGTCCTAAGACTCTTCTGTCCAGCTTTCACCCCATCACATTGCTGATGTCTTGCTCTTGTCACATGCCACAGGTCATTCTGGACGGAGGTGGACACAAAGCGTGTGTTCTGAGGAGCACCCCCCACCCCCAGCTACCTGGGCTGGGACATGGGTTCAGGGAGGTGTGGGGTGATTCTCTTGGACTTGGGCCTGGTCTTGTAGTTGCAGTGGGTGCACACTCTAGCTATTTTAGTCTCCTGGTTTTCTTTTCCCAGGGTTAGAGCATGTGGGTGTTTCTTAGCTCTAGGGGAAAAAGGAATGCTTGATGTTTTGGAAAGATTTGAGCTAGAAAGTGCAGACAGAGGCCATGGGGCGTTCTTCCCAGACAGCCAGCCTCAGCTTCCGACCCCCAGGGTCTTTGAGGGACTTAGTTCCAGTCCCATCTTGGGGCCTGCTGCTGCCTGCTCCAAGGGTGTGGGGCCTGCTCTCGGGGAAGGGGTAAGGCCCCTGGCAGGGGTGGGGGTGGGAAGAGGCCTGGAGGATGGAGCTGTAGCCATCTGCGTGCACCCCCAGGTGACCCCTCACATACCTACACACACAGGGGTCGCAGCTGGAGGGATTCTGGGGCTTCACAGGGGAGGGTAAGCCTTGTGGAATGTGCCCTGAATGAGGTGGGCGGGTTTTTCCCACGCGCACGCCTGCGCACCATGGGAGTGCAGTATTGGTTGCATCCATGGCTCTAGCAGAGGCGTCTGCTCTGCTGTGTGGGTGGGAACGAGTCCCATGCCCCTCCTTAGTCAAGGGGGTCGCATTTGATGCCCTGGAAAAAGGAAAGGATGACTTTCCTCCTTGGCCTATTTTATTTTTTTCTGTCCTTAACAGTGTATGTAACTGGTTTCTCCTTTTATAATTTGCTTTTTGTTTCTTGGGGTTTGTAGGAATGCAGAGACGAGGCCATTAGCTGGAGTTGCTGTACTCCAGACCGCCTTTCTTGGGGGCTTTTCTTAGCTCTACCCAAGCTCTGAGGAAGGGCCAGCATCACCTCCCTGAGACAGACAAGGTGCAGAAAAGCAGACCGAGGGAGGGGTGTGTGTAGGGGTGGTGATAAGCTCAGAGTCATGGGTGCCTGAGGGCATGTCACTCCAGGCTAGTCTTCAGGAGTGACATTGGCAAGTATGACAGGCAGGGGCACCGCTGCCTCAAAGACCAGTAAAGGAAGCGCCAGTGTGCGTACACTCAGGGCACACGTGCAGTTCTGTCTAGAAGCACACACAGGCCTGGGGCGGTTTTGGAGACATCCACGTGTGCTGGATCCACGGCCCTTCTGAGGGGAAGGTGGGTCTTGCCCCGCCCACGTCTGGCCAGGCAGAGGGTAGGGTCCTAGTCTCGGGCCCCGTTCTCTCGGGCCCTGTTAGCAAGCAAGTCACAGGAGGCTGGCTTGGTCTGCAGTTCTTCTGTTCTTGTGACTTGAACGGTACATTTCACACCATTTCTCTCACACTGGTTTCTCTCTCCCTCTATGTAGGTCCTGCTTAATCATTGGACACGGACTCTTAATAAAACGGTCTTCAGTTCCAGATTCCTTCCCAGCAAGCTATAGCTTAAGTCCATTTCCTTCCGTGAAAGGGACAGGACTCCATCGAGTTATGGAATTCCTCAGAGCCCTGGGCCTGTCCCCAGGGTGGATTAGTCATGTCCAGAGCACACGCCTAATCCCGCCTCCGGGAAGGCTGCCTCCTGTGTAAAGACTGCCTGCCTGTCCCGCCCAGCCTCCCTGGTCGTTGGGGTCATCTGGGTGGCAGGTGATGACAGTCCCCCCCGCACACGCATACGTGTGCTGCTGCTCTGTGTGCAAGGCCCCATCACAGTGTGTGTTCTTTTTTCATCCCTCCCTCATTTTCTGGGATTCTGGATCCTAACTGCTTCCCTCCTGGACCTTGCAGTGACATTAGCCCAGGGAAGATCTCATTCAGCATAAGGAAGAGCTCTCACATCTAGAGTTTTCCCAAGTGAGGAGCAGGGGCTTTAGAGGTGAGGCCAGCTGGGCCCGAAAGCTTGGCGGGGCTGTCCCTCAGCAGGCCTGCTCTCTGGTGGCCCGGGAGGCTTTGTTGGCCAGAGGCTGTCACCAGCCACAGCTGACTCACAGCCCCGTGGAGTCTTTCTTCCGTTTTCATTGTTCCCATTGTTGCCTGTTGGGCGTTTTCCCAACTTCTTTGGCCTCTTTGCCTAAAGTCACATAGGGTGAGTATGTCCTGGGCTGCCTCCCAGGCCCTCCCAGGTGATTAGAAGCAGGCTGCAGGAGGCAGGAGCTGCCGGGCAGGCCACTGGTGAGAGGCATTTGGGGAGGAGCAGCCATGTCAGCTGACCTCCCTGCCTCTAGTGGAGTTGGGATCTGGGCTAGTGGGCAGGAAAGGGCTCTCCAAACCTGAAGTGCTGGACCCAGTCAGTGGGGAGGCCATCAGAGCTTTCAGGGCTTGCTCCATGCACATCTCTGAGGGGCATTGCCAGTGCAAGCACCCTCTTACGTCTTCAGTCCCCTAGAATGATCCAGCCGCTGGGGTGGAGCAGGCCAGGGTGGCCACAGCATCCAAGCCCTCTGAGAGGCACTCAATAGGCTCTTTTTGCTCTAAAAATAAACATCAGCCCTTTTTTGGTCATGAATCCAGCATCTCAGCAGAAAACTGTCTGACATGAACAGCCCCTGAGGAACAGCATCTGTGTGGCAGGGAGCTTTTTTTCCTTAAGTGTATTTTGTGTGTGCTTCTTCAAGGCTTGACCATGTCCTGGCATCTTGGAGCCTGCCTTCTCCTGGAGCTGGAAGCAGGCTTGAGGAGGTGTAATTCACTACCCTCAGGCCCTCGGGTGCTGGCTGCTGCCTGTGTGGAAACCTGGCACCCCTGCCCCAGCTCTTTGGGGTCTTGGGTTGAAGCTGCTGTAACTGCCCCCAATCGGCCTTGGCCTTGATGAGTCATAGCTTCCCCAGAGCCTCCAGGGCCTGCACTGATGCTTAGCAGTTCCTAGGCTGCTCCCTGATCCTCTGCCGGCTGACTTGTAGTCAAGCTCTGTTTACCAAACAGACTATTTTGAGCTGCCCTTTGGCCTGTGCCTGATGTGTTCCCAGTGCAACTCGAGCCTGGCTGGGGCCAGGGGGCTTCGTGCCCAGAGATTCCCACAGGACAGTTGGGAGGCTGCTGGCATTGTCTTTCTGGGAAGAGTCTGTTGTCTTGGAACAAATGGCAGCCTGGATTCCCACAGTGTCAGCCTATGTGACGTCTCACACGCGTGCACACAGACTGTAGCCACAGGCCGGCTCTCCTGCACGATCCTTGCACGCTTGTTGTCCAGAGATCCTGTCCTCCTTGCCTGTGGGGCTTCCATCTGGCAGAGAACTTGATCTTTAGATGCAAATTGTCACCTGTGCCTGGTGCCCCAGGAACAGAGCAGAGAGAGCAGTGCCCACTCCTTACTGGCAGCCTCTTGTGTGCGGGCAGTGGGAGGCTTTGACGTACCGGCTGGGCTGTGGGGCCTCAGGGGCTGCGGTAGGAGGGCTGGGAGGCCCAGGCATCCGCTGGCGCTGAGGCTCCCAAGTCAATTCAGGTGAGGGGCGCTGCGCCTCTGCCCTGCCCTTGTCTTCCATCCTGTCTCCTTCCCTTGAGTTGGGGGAGTGGGGGGCGTGGGAGGAATCAGTGTTTTAATCAGATATTTCAACAACGATTTAATTCTTTGTACAATTACCATCCTATGTAAAAATGAAACTTGTGTTGAGTTCAAGATTTTCATGGAATAAAGATCACAGAGTACTTGAGGCCATCTTCATGTAACCCTTTCTAGAGAGTTTTGTGTGGGAGTGTCTTGGGGCTGGTGTGTCATGAAGTTGTGCACTTCCTGTCTTGTCTTCCTACCGGTAACTCTGGCACAGGCCACGGGGGTCAGATGCGACTGCCCCGAACTGCTCCAGCACTCCTTGGTCCCCACCGCTGGCGATCCAGTCCTCTGGTTCTGGGAATCTGCTTTTCACCTCTACTCTCTCCCACCCTAGGCCTGCCCCACCCGGCACTTCCCTGGAGCCTTGGGTTACTCCCAGTGATCTTTCCAAGGCAGCGAGATCTGCTCCCTGGAACCCCCAGGGCCCCATTTGCACTTGGTCCCCACAAGTTCTCATGTGGTCCTCTCTGCTCCAGGCCTACGGGGAGATAGTGCTCAGAGCCACCGTCCCTCTTTTATGGTGGAAAAAACAGTGCTTCCCCCAAAGCCACAAGGTGACAGCCGCCTCTGGTCCTGCACAGCCTTCTCCCCATGACGTACTGTCTTCTGCTGGTCATACTTTTCCCACCAGCCCCCTTCTTCCCCCAGTCCCCCCCCCACCAAATACCACCACCGCCACCAGGCCCCCTGAAGGCATGCCCAGCATGCCAGCAGCTGCCTCCAGCCTCCTTCAAGCTGCAGTTTCTGTTGCTGGAATCCATGCTGGGGGGAGAGGAGACCATCCTGGAGGAACGACCGGGCCTCTTCCTCCCACTCTCTTGGCTCAGCGGCCTCTAGTACCATTCTTTGCATCAGCGCATGCAGGGTCCCTTTGGTTCTGGGTCTCTGGCCTCCCCAGTCCAGTACTCCTCCCCCACCCACAGCTGCCAGATGCCCGATGGCCCTGATCCTGCAAATCATCCAGACTGTCCCCTTCTGTGTGTCTCACCACAGAGTGACCCTCTCACCAGGTTTCATATTGTGACCAAGAGTCCTAAGCCCTGTGCCCTGGCATCGTTAGTGTCCAAGTTTGGGGCCGGGCCTAAGGGTCTTGTGTCCCACGTGTCCCCAGTTGCTGCCATTTGTATGAGGACATGTGTCTGTATCTGCTGAGGTCTGTGTTGCTGTCGTGTCTGTTGCGTGGAGTGGTGAGGTCTCACAGGGCATGAGGTCCCTGCTCACTGGTCCCTTTTTTGTGGCGTGCTGCACCCTGAGGCTGTGCACCTCACAGAAGCTTAGCACAGCCCTCTCTGAAACAGCCATGAGCTGAGGTAGCCCTGCTTTGGGTAAAACATGTGTTTTCTGACACCAGCAGCAAGAGCTGGGATCCTGGCAAGGAGCTCAGGGCATGTCAGGCAAAGCCATGAGGTGCCTTTTGGTGACAGGAATCCAAAAAGCCCCATGGGCCCCACCTCGCACCTGGTGGTTGGCGACTTCATCATTTCCTAGCCCATGAGTGCTAGCCGGGCCTCCTGTCCCTCTCTGGGGTTTGCATACCAGTGGTGTTTGGCGGGAGGCATCCAGCTGGCAAAAGTTCTTTAGCATAAACCTCTGGAGTGGAACAGAGGGGGCCTGCTGGCTCTTGTGCACTCCTTGCAGAGGCAGGCACACCCTAGTCGTGTCAACGCAGTGGAAGTAACAAGTTATTGGCCCCTGAGGAACCAGGACACATACTGTCTTCCCGCAACACATTGCCTGTGTCCCAACACGGGGACTTCCCTGAGGCCAGTCTCCTGCGAGGAAGGGGAAGTTTGCTGGCAACCTCCTCCTCTGTTGGCCATGGCATTGAGTGCCACCCCCCACATTGCTCCTGGTCGTCCTGGGGAGGCTGGCCAGCTAGCCTGCTTCCTTCCTTTCTTCCCTCCCCTAAATTGCTCACTCTGTGGCCAGCTGTTGACCCTGGCTGATACCATTGGTCTCTTAACCCAGCTCGCACATCTCTGCTTCCCTCAGGAGGATGGGAAGGAGTGAGCCTCAGAGGGTAGTGCAGTTGGAGGCCACCGTATGGCTACTTTTTGGCTGTTTGACCCGAGACAAGTCCGTTAACTTCTTTGAGCCTCATTTTGCTTATTTGTCAAATGGACATGATCATTTTGGACATCACAGTTGTTCCAGGACTAAGCAGGTTGGGGTGCAGATACTCCGTCCTGGTAGTGGCCTCTGACCAACAAGTAGGAGAAGACGTTGGGCAAGGAGGTCTCGGTAGCTCAGCTCCCAGTGCACCAGGTGTCACCCTTAATGGACCTGGTAGTCTGGAGTTTGCAGGGTGGCTTTTCAGGCATGGTCCCCCATAAGAAAAGCAGCAGCCAGATGGGTAGGTGACCCCACATGTCTTGCCCTCCTCCGTGACTGACTCCCATCCTGGACAGAACCTGGCCATCCTCTCACTGTCAGCGGCCCTTCTCCTGAACTCATCCTCTGTTTTTCCCTCATTCTGCATCCAAGGCCAGCGCACAGTCTTCTCAGAGCCTCACCACCTTCTCTTTTCCTCCACAGAGATGGCTCCGAAGTCAAAAAAGAAGGGGCACCCTGGGAGGGAGCAGAAGAAGGTATGTGGTCTTGGGGGAGTCCTCCATCAGGTGAGCAGTGGCCACCTGCCTTGTGGGCTCTAGGGGGACCCTGGGTCTGGCCTGGCTGGGTTCTGCCTGCCTGATGTCAGTATGTCTGTCCACAGCACCATCACCACCACCATCAGCAGATGCAGCAGGCCCCGGCCACCGTTCCCCAGCAGCCCCTGCCAGCACCTCAGCAACCCCCACCACCTCCACCTCCGCAGCAGCAACAGCCGCCGCCCCCACCACCCCCGCCTGCCATGCCACAGCAGGCAGCCCCCACGATGAAGTCCTCACCTCCACCCTTCATCGCTGCCCAGGTGCCCGTCCTGGAGCCACAGCTCCCAGGCAGCGTCTTTGACCCTATTGGCCACTTCACCCAGCCCATCCTGCACCTGCCACAGCCTGAGCTGCCCCCACACCTACCCCAGCCACCTGAGCACAGCACTCCTCCTCATCTCAACCAGCATTCGGTGGTCTCTCCTCCAGGTGAGTTGGGGCTGAGCACTCTGGGCAACCCTCAGAAGCCCGCCTCTGTTGTCTTGTTTCTAAATGGGGTCAGCGGCTTCTCAGGGCCAAGACACCCCAGGACAGGCTTTGCAGAGAGTTAGTGCTTTGATACAGAAGATATGCCGTTCTTCTGCTGGGCCAGGCATTGTGTGAGATGAAAAAACATGTGACCCCTCTGCAGCTCCCAGTCGGGGATGGGGGGCGTTGGGGATACACTCATCCCGGAGAGGACATACCTGGGGGATTCAGGGAAGGCCTGCTCTGACACCGGAAGGGCAAGTGTGAAAACGGGAGCAGCTGGAGGGGAGGGAGGAAGGTGGGGGCACAGAGCGCAGTGCAGGATGACACTGGGTGGGGCCCTGATCGTGTAGACCTCCCTGGAATTGGTCCTTTTTCTGGAGTTGGTGGGAAGTCAAGGAGGGTGGGGAGAGGTTGCTGGGTGGAGGAAGACTGGTGGGAGCTGAGGATGGAGCAGAAAGGCCAGGTTGGGGCCGTGGGGCTCGTGAGCCTCACTGCCACGCTGTTGTGTTCTTACAGCTTTGCACAACGCGCTGCCCCAGCAGCCGTCGCGGCCCAGCAACCGAGCTGCCGCCCTGCCCCCCAAGCCTGCCCGGCCCCCAGCCGTGTCACCCGCCCTGGCCCAGCCGCCCCTGCTCCCACAGCCCCCCATGGCTCAGCCCCCCCAAGTGCTGCTGCAGGAGGATGAAGAGCCACCCGCCCCACCCCTCACCTCCATGCAGATGCAGCTCTACCTGCAGCAGCTGCAGAAGGTGCAGCCCCCCGCACCATTACTCCCTTCCGTGAAGGTGCAGTCCCAGCCCCC